CAGATTTTCACTGACTGTTCTGTATTTAGATGCCAATCTTTAAATGTTCTTTTCTCAAAATGCAACGGAAGCCTTCAGTCTCAGTACATGAGTGTTGGAAGCATGTCACCATCGTTTGCTTCTTTTAATAAGTTGGTGGTGCATTGACACGACCAGCATGTTTCCATAATTCTCTACATTGGGGATATGGAGCACAGATTGGGTGATCGCTGTGCAGGACACCTACATTCTGCATACAAAAAAATGATGCTGAGTTTCCAATTTCCTGTCATTTCAACACACCACCCTGTTCCCTGGCCAACATCTCTGACTCAGGCTTGCTGCAGTGCTTCAGCAAAGCTCAGTGCAAGCTATAACATCTCATTTTCCACCTGGGAACTCAGCAACCTTCTCGATTCCATATCAAGTTCAATAATTTTAGACCTGAGCACCTTCTCCCATGTCCTTAGCCCCACCCCCACATAACAGGCCTTTTCGTCATTGGGCTGCTACCTTCACATTGTCAGCCAATAATAGTCCCCATTAACAGCTATTGATCCTCCCAAGCTAACCTTTACCCATTCCTTTTCTCCACTGTGATGTGGAGGTGCCGATATTGGACTGGGGTGGACAAAGTCAGAAGTCACAAGACACCAGGTTATAGTCCGTAACGTTTATTTGAAATCACAAGCTTTCGAAGTGCTGCTCCTTTGGCTGGTGAAGCCTGTTCACCTGATGAAGCCGCAGTGCTCCGAAAGCTTGTGATTTCAAATACACCTGTTGGACTATAACCTGGTATCTTGTGACTTCTGACTTTGCCCAACTGTTGTTCTCTCCAGAAGAAGCCTCACCAACATCCTATACAACCTCATCATGACATCTCATTCCTATACTCAAAGGTGTGAGCAATGAAGGCAAGTGTGCTAAATGCCTTCTTAACCACCTTGTCTCCATGTGATGCAAATTTCAAAGAATTATGTTCCTGAACCCCTAGGTCCCTCTGTTCTGCAATGCTACCCAGGGCCCTTGTTTGTTTTACCAAAATGCAATACCTTGAATTTATCCAATTTAAACTCCACCTGCCACGCTTCAACACGTTGAACCAATTGATCAAGATATCTTTGTAATCTTAGATAATCTTCTTTATTCTCCACTGTAGCACCAACTTCTGTGCCATCTGCAAATTTACTAGCCATGCCTCCTAAATTCTCATCCAAATTGTTTATATAAATGACAAACAGAAGTAAACCCAGAGCCGATCTCTGTGGAACACTGCTGGTCACAGGACTCCAGTCCGAAAAACAACCTCCACCACCATCCTCTTTCTCCCACAGTTAAGCCAATTTTGTATCCAGTTGGCAAGCTCACCCTGAATCCCTGTGATCTAACTTTACCAACTTTACATGCAGAACCTTATCAAAGAATTTACTAATGTCCATGTAAACAACGTCTACCGCTCACCATCAATCTTTATGGTTACCTCCACAAAAAACTCAATCAAGTTAGTGAGACACGATTTCTCTCACACAGTAGTGGCGGACATGAGTTTTTGGGTTCCTGGCAGCAGCGGAGTCAAGTTTGGGCCCAGTCTGGGACCCGAGTACTGCGTTGGCGGTGTTGGACCACCGTGCAGACTCAGGTCAGTGGCGGTGGGGTCAGGTTTGCGCCCGATGTGGACCCGACAGCTTTGGTGTTGGCTACTTCAGTGAAGTTAGCCCAGAAGATGGAGTCAAGTTGGGTGCAGTGCAAGATCCAGCAACATCAGTATCAGTGCCAACGGTATTGCAAGGCCAGCCCAGCGAGGACACAGCGATGGCAGTGGTGTCAGTGGACAGCGGATGGTGCCAACGAATAACAACACAGTTCCAGCAGTGATGACATGCAGCGAAGGGACATTAGGCTGGCCAACTGTTTCGTACTGGTGACAGTTTCAGCATTAGGGTGGAGGAGCACCTGGATCCAGGCCCATCACTATGCATTTAAGAAGAAGAATTATAAAGTTGAACATTTCTTTATTTTCTGTCTTCACATTCTATGTTTTGGTTTATTTTTCTGCGTTTCAAGATGGCGCTGGAGAGTGGCGACTATGCAACACTTTTCACTGTATTCCTAACAAACTGCATGTGACAATAAATAAATCAAATCAATCAAAGCCTACAACGCAGTTCTGAAGAAGAGTCTTACCATCAAACATTCTGCGTTCGTCTCCATTTCCAACATCTACGATGTTTTTTTTTATCTGAGCACCTAAATATCTTATCTTGTTCACCAAATTATCCTCTCATTGTTCTAGAGTGCAGGCCCAACTTTATCAACATCTCTTCATAAGACAGTACCTCCATACCCAGAATCAACATTGTGAATCTTCTTTGTACTTCCTGCAATGCCTGTTTATTTTACTTAGATAAAAGCACCAACACTGTGCACAGTTTTCTAGATGTGTTCAGATTAGCGCAATGTATCATTTTAGACCTTCCTAGCTTTATACTCCATTCCATTTAAAGTAAAGGCTAACTGTCCATTTATGTTCCCTATTACTTATTGAACTTGGATGCTAGCCTTTTGTGATTCATGCACAAGAACCCCAAATTCCTCCATGCCGCAGCTTTCTACAGCCGTTCTGCATTCAAATAATTTTCAGCTCTTCTACTGTTCCCGCAAAAGTGCATGACTTTGAAATTTCCTACATATATTTCATCTGCCAAAAATTTTGCCCATTCACTTTGTAGATTCTTTGTCTCATCCTTACTACTTTCCTTACCAACTATTTTTGTGTCAGCTGCAGACTTGGTTATAGAATATTCAGTTCTGTTATCCAAGTCATAATAGTGAATTATAATTAATTGTAGTTCCAGCACTGATCAATGTGACACTCCAGTGGTAAAAGGTTGCGCCCTTTACCCCAACTCTCTGTCTTCAGTCAGTTAGCCAATCCTCTATCTATTTAATGGGTTCATGAAAGGCAAGTCATGCTTGACTAATTATCTGGAAATCTATGAAGACATTACAAGTGCGGTGGGCAATGGGGACCCAGTAGATGTGATGTATCTGGATTTCCAAAAGGCATTCGACAAGGTGCTGCGCAAAAGGCTGCTGCATGAGATACGGTGCATGACGTTATAGGCAATGTATTGGCATGGATCGAGGATTGGTTAATTAACTGGAAGCAAAGAGTGGGGATAAACGAGTGCTTTTCTGGTTGGTGAACAGTGACTAGTTGTGTGCCTCAGGGATCAGTGCTGGGACCGCAATTGTTTATAATTTACATAGATGATTTGGCGTTACAGATGACACTAAGATAAGTGGTACAGCAATGTGTGCTGAGTGCTCTGAAAGTTTGCAAAGGGATCTAGATAGTTTAAGTGAATGGGCAAGGTCTGGCAGATGGAATTCAATGTTGATAAATATGAAGCCATCCATTTTGGTGGTAAAAAGGACTATTACTTGAATGGTAAAACATTGCAGCATGCTCATGTGCAAAGGGACCTGTGTATCTTTTTGCATGACTCACACTGGTTGGTTTGCAGGTGCAGCAGGTAGTTAAGAAGGCAAATGGAACTTTGTCCTTCATTACTAGAGGGATTGAGTTTAAAAGAAGGGAGTTTATATTACAGCTGCATAGGGTGCTGGTGAGGTGTGCAGTTTTGGTATCCTTACTTGAGACGGGATGTACTGGCAATGGAGGGTGTATAGAGGTTGATTCCAGAGTTAAGAGGGTTGGCTTATGAGGAGAGGCTGAATAGACTGGGATTATATTCATCGGAATTTAGAAGAATGAGGTGGGGGGGTCTTACAGAAATGTATAAAATTATGAAGGGAGTAGATAAGAAAGAGGCAGGGAAGTTGTTTCCAGTGGTGGGTAGAACTAGAGCAAGAGGGCATAGCCTCAAAATTAGGGGGAGCAGATTTAGGACTGAATTGAGGAGGAACTTCTTCTCCAAAAGGGTTATGAATCCGTGGAATTCCCTGCCCAGTGAAATAGTTATGGCTTCCTCATTGAAAGCTTTTAAAGCTAAGATAGATAATTTTTTGAATAGTAAAGGAATTAAAAGTTATGATGTGAGGGTGGGTAAGTGGAGCTGAGGCCGTGAAAAGATCAGCCACGATCTTATTGAATGGTGGAGAAGGCTCGAAGGGCCAGATGGCCTACTCCTGCTCCTGGTTCTTATGTTCTTATGTGGTACCCCCAAAACCATGGGATCTTATTAAGTAACTTTATGTGTACTGCCTTACGGAAGTCCTTTGGAAATCTGTTGGTTCTCTTGTTTCTGTCCTGCTTGTTATCTCTCAAAGAATTCTAATAAATCTTTTAGGGATGATTTACTCTGCATCAAGCCGTGCTAACTCTTATTATTTTATATCTTTCTAAATACTCTGCCATTACATCCTTTATAATAGACTAACAGATTCCTAATGGCAGGTGTCAAGTGAACTCGCTGGTATGGTCTTCCTCCCTTTTTGATTGGCAGTTTTCCAATTCTCTCGCACTTTTGCAGAATCTAAGGAATCTGTGCATTGACTATCTCTGTAGCTATTTCTTTAAAATCCTGGAGTGCACCCCATCAGGTCCAGGAAATTTATCAGCCTTTAGCCATGTTAGGTTCCTGAGTTAATTTTGTAGATTTGTATGTTTTTTTGGCAAATACAGCTATGACATTGACCTGGAATGTGCTGATATTGCTAAAAGAACAAAGCATCTTTATTATTATTACACAAAACCAATGTGCAGAAGCAAAATTATTTCAGTACAAAGCAAAACCATTTCTGCCTATTGTAACTGTGCAATTTTAAAGCTGCAACTTCTTTTCCAGAGTTATTTACCATAATTCCATTTCCCTGCTTATTTCATATTTATACAAGTGCTCAACGCCTCTTAACTAAATTGGATTCTGATTTTTTTCGTGCCATAATGCATGTTAAAATAGTCATTGAATGAAGAAAATTCTTTACAAATTCATCGCTTTATAATTTTAAGAATAATCCCAAGTTTTTAATATCTAAATTTATTGTTTTTCTTTCAGAGCCTCCAATTGGCCAGATGCATCCGCCTCATGGCAGTGTGACTCCTCAAAAGAATGGTAATCTGTTGGTGATCATCATGGTCTCCATTGGTGTAGTTACAGTTGCAGTGGTCATTGTTGTAGCCGTTATCTGCACCCGTCGATCTTCAGCACAGCAAAGAAAGTATGTTTGGATTTTATTGCCTAATTTGCAATGTTATTTCACTTCATTGTAACTTGTGAAGGAGGTCACTTGACACTTTAGTGAGTGTATTAAGTGACTGACTCAGTCATCCGCGGTTTGCTGTTGAATTCCCATTGTGGATTGATTTTGCTGTTTTCATTCATCATGATGGTAAAGTTACAACATAGAAATTTCAGCATGAAATGAGCCATTCAGCCTAGCTGGTTTATGCCAACATATATGCTCCACACAAACCTCGCCATATCTTACATCATCTGACCTTTTTTTGCAAAGTTACATGCCTTTGTTTCAGCTGAAAACTGTGGCCTTGTTACGTCAGGAAAAATTGACCAAGTTTCTTGAGTATTATTTAAGGATAGTCTGGTAGATGTGATTGTTTGGGCAGGTATAGACATTTGTCCATACTGTAGGAAGTAATTCAGAGTTTAACTTTTTTCATTGATGTCTGGAATGTAATTATTACTGCAAATGCAGGCATTTCTTGCACATCCCAAATTGCCCTTCAGAAGATGCTGGTGAGCAGCCAAATGTTGAATAATGTTATTGAATTGTATTTTGTATTCATCAAGGTGAAGGATATCAGTTGACAGGGAAAGAAGCACTCTATTATCCATTTCATATAGTAATGCCAGCACCAAGATGTCTTGGTCATTGAATGAAGAAAATTCTGTCTGGGACAGACTATGGCAAAGTAACATTTGGCTTAACCTTATGCCTTAATCTCACAGTCAGAAAAGGACATCCGATCGTACTACTATGAATTTTAAACCTTTGCAAACAAGAAATCAATGTGACCTTTCTGAGTAAGATTGTCAATTTAAGGACCATATCTTCTGTAGTTTTATGTCCACAATGTTGAAACATAAAAAATCTGTTCTCTATAAGATATTTATAGCAGACTGATAGAAGAGACTTCCATCCTGAAACTAGGGCTGAAACTGGTTTTGATTACCATATTGTGCTGACCTATAGTGAACCACAGTTCCTTGCTTATTATTTTGGACAGTAGTGACTGTATCATAAGTAGTTCACAGGTTTATTCAAATGGGACAGGATATAATAAGTTTTGGCGGAACAATGGAGACACCTCACAGTTGCAGACCTCTGCTGTAATATTTTTTCAGGCACAGCAACAGATCTATCAGTGGGTGGGTGGAAAGGGCACTGGGCAAACAAACAGACGAGGTTTCCCTTTCAATATTATGTTGAATCAAGGAATCTGAAAACTCTTTGTAATCATCAAAGTAATATGGGCTATGTACAGCATTCCTAAGTGAGAATTTAATTTTACTAGAATTCAGCTCAGTTCTGTTGACAGCATTGTATTGATGTGCTGAAAATATATACATTTATTAAAATATACTTACTTATTCATATCTGGTACATAGTATTTTTCATGAATACTTTTCAAATCCTTTTATTTGTGTTTTTCTCATTTGCTGTTACTAGGCTTACACTTTCTACCTTCTATACAAACATAAAAATTAATAAAAATAATAGCAATATCAAAGAGAACAAGAGCAGAATGGATTTAACAGAACAGTAGCACAGTTCCTTTCATTGACATTTGGATCAATCCTGAAACCTGAAGACAATGGCAACAACTTGCATTTATTTACTATAGTGTAGTAAAATGTCCAAAGAACTTCACTCAGCAATTATCAAATAATAGTTAACACCAAGCCAATGAAGGACATATTGGGACTGATGACTAAAACCTTGGTCAAATTGATAGGTTTTACAGAGTATCTTAAACGGGAAAGAGATGTGAACAGATTTAGGGGTGGCCTTTCTGAAGTTTATGGGCTGGTAGTTGAAGGCATAGCTGTCAATGTACATAGCATCAGTAATGGGGAAAATGCTAGAATCTATATTAAAAAATGTAATAACAGAATATTTGGAAAACATTAATAGGATTGGACAATACCAGCATGAGTTTATGAGAGGCAAATAATGCTTAATAAATCTGTTGGAGTGTTTTGAGGATGAAGCCATTGGAAAAGATAAGGTAGTTGGATTTTCAGAAGCCTTTTGAAAAGGTCTGTCATAAGACGTTAATGGTGAAAGTTAAAGAACAGAGGGTGGGGGTAATATATTGACGTTAGTGAAGAATTTGTTGACAGGAAACAGAAAGTGGATATAAATGGATCTTTTTTCTGAGTGACAGGCAATAACTGGTGGGATGCCACAAGGATCCATCCTTGGGCCCCAGTTATTCGTGATGTACGTAAATGATCTGGATGAGGGAACCAAATGCAACATTTCCAAGCGTGCTGAAAACAGAGACCTGGGCAGAATTTTGAGTTAGCATGTGGATACAGGGAGGCTTCAAAGTGATTTAGACTAGTTGTGAGTGGACAAACAAATGACTGATACAGTGCAATGTGGCTAAATGTGAAGTCATACATTTCAGTGTGAAAAACAGAAAGGAAGAGTATAATTTAAATAGAGATGTATTGGAAAGTGTGGATGTACATATTTTCCTAATCAACTTGTTCATAAATGTTATTACACACTTCGGGAGCAGATTGGGCGTGAACCCCAGTCTCCTGCCCCAGGGTAGGGATGCTATCACTGTGCCACAAGACTCTTTTGGCATCTATGTGTACTAGTCAACTGAAATAGATAGATAAGTACAGCTGTCCATTAGGATGGCAACTGGTAAATTGGTCTTCATTGCAAGAGAATTTGAGTTCAACAGTAAGGGATATGATAGTGTAGTTATATAGGGCCGTGGTGAGACCACACCTGGAATAATGTGAGCAGTTTAAGTGTCTCTACCTAAAAAAAGCATATACTAGCCATAGAAGAAATGCAACAGAGGCTTACTAAGCGAATACTGGGGATGACAGGACTGTCCTATGATGAGAGGTTAGTTTGCTTGAGCCTGTATTCACTAGATTTTAGAAGGATGAAATGAGATTTAATTGAAATATATAAAATTCCAGAAGTGCTAGGTATACTTTTGGTTTTCTTGGTTGAGAAATATAGAACCAGGGGCACAGTCTCAAGTTAGATTATTTAGTCATGTTGTGGAGGTGCCAGCATTGGACTGGGTGGACAAGGTCAGAAATCATATGATACCAGGTTATAGCCCAACAGGTTTATTTGAAAACACAAGCTTTCAGAGCCTCACTCCTTCTTCAGGTGTTAGTGACAGAGGTAGTAACAGACGCAGAATTTATAAGTAAAAGATCAAAGAGTCACACCACTGATCAGGATGTATTAAACAAACCTGAGATGCTGTTAAACTTCAATTAGTTAGAAGGTTTTAATTGAGTAATATGTATATGTAAATCCCCGAATTTCATGTATTTTGCTGTCGTGAGACAATTAAAGGTTTTATCAGTGTAAAGAAGAGGTGACATTTTAGGTCAGAAAATGCTTGTTAGGTGTGAGGCCTTGTTTAGAATCTGTTTGTGTTGTGGTTTGGAGTCAGATTGGTTTTATTTCTAAAGTAGGGGAATTTATAAAATGCCACATTGACTGACTGTCTATAAATTGTATGCTTTTTGAACAAAATAGAACATATCTGAAAATACAAAATCACCCCATAGATTCACGTGTGTGTGTGTGTTTGTGTGTGTGTGTGTATGTATGTGCGTGAGAGAGAGTGAGTGTGAATGCTTGTGTGAGAGTGTATTGTGTGGTGGGGTCACCTGTAGTGCAACATGAACCCAAGATCCTGGTTGAGGCCATCCTCATGGGTACCAGACTTGGCTATCAGCCTCTGCTCAGCAACTCTGCACTGTCATGTATCCCAAAGTTCGTCTTGGGAGGACGTTTACCCAAAGATCTGAGGCTGAATGTCCTTGGCTGCTGAAGTGTTTCCCCACTGGGAGGGAAAATTCCTGTCTGTGTGCATTCATCTGTTGTCATAGCGTCTGCATGGTTTTGCCAATATACCATGCCTCAGGACATTTTTACCTGCAGCGTATGAAATTGACAACATTGGCTGAGTCACATGAGTATCTGCCGTGGACGTGGTAGGTAGTATTCCCACGTGTGACGGTAGTGTCCATGTCGAAGATCTGACATGTCTTGCAGAGGTTGCCATGACAGTGGGAGAACACTCCCACTGGGAGAACACTTCCTGCATTTTGAGTCCCCAATGTGGATGTCACCTCGTCATGAGGAATGAATATGGTATTAATAAATTTCAAAACATACGGGTGAATTGCTGTTTTACATGGGAGGAGTATTTGGGGCCTTGGACAATGGGAAGAGAGGAAGTGAAAGGGCAGGTGTTGCATTTTGCACAGAAAGTTGCCATTTGGAAGGTAGAGGGTGTTAAGGTTGACTAAGGAGTAAATGAGTTTAGAAAATCTCAGATCCTGATTGCACTTGGTGTTTTGCACAGCATTTGTTTTTGCTAGGATGCTACAATTGCTATTAGTGTTTCTAATATAGGTCGTCCTAGGACTTCCCATTCACTTAGGAATGATACCGGTGAGTGTGTTACTGACTGGTTTGCATGTACATAAAAGGTGATATAGGAACAACACAGGAATGGCCTCTAGAATGAAGCTGCTGCTCCCAATGAACCATACTCCAGCAGAAGAGGAGATACAATTGGAACAAAATTGTTGTGCTCTTGTTTTACCCATCACTTTTATGTCATTCACTGTTTTAGTTAAAAAAATTGGTAACAGTCATAGGTTACCGAATGAACTGTGTGAACAGTAAATACCCTTTCTTTGCATGTTCAAGGGTAGATCTGTTACAGTTAAAAAGACATAGGTTTTTTCTCAAGTTCAAAAATTCATGTTTGGACACATAGAATGATCATTAATTTCTCAAATCTCAGAGCTAAATGGTCAAGAAGTAAAATTAAGGCTTCATTGTGTCCTTCCCTTCAATTTATTACATTTCCATCACAGAAAGCGGGCAGCACACAGTGGTGGCAAACGGAAGGGCAGCCAAAAAGACTTGAGGCCACCAGACCTTTGGATACATCATGAAGAAATGGAGATGAAAAATATTGAGAAGCCCTCGGGCACAGATCCATCTGTAAGAGATTCACCCATGCAGCAAAGCTGCCAAGATATAACTCCTGTCAGTCACAGCCACTCAGAGAACCAGCTAACTAGCAAAAGTGGCTCACATTCAGGTAATACTATGTACAATTAAATGTTACAGAATATACTACACTTACTGTCTGAAATCTTTCCACAGATTACTATCATGCTTATTTTATGAATGTACACTCTTAGATTAGAGACTCATCTTTTGCAAAATCCTGACGCCTTTTCATGATTTTTCCATCCAAAACATGTTCTTCTGACATGCACATCCAGAGGACGAGAGTGTACTTATTAATTAGCCTTGTTAATAAAACTATCCCTAGTACGTAATCATTGAGGTCAGGATGTGTAACACAGGGTTTAGAACAAGGGAGGAACTGAAGCAAATGTGTGTTCATAGAAAAATGGTGTTGGAGGAATTGGTAGGATTGAAGGCTGATAAATCCTCGGAGTCTGATAATCTACATTGCAGAGTGTTAGGTGTGTAGCTGGTAATGCTGGCCTTTTAAAAGAGCTGGTCACGTGACTGGAGATGCAGAGCTTGCATCCAGTCTAGAACCAGTTGTGGAGGTGTGAGTATTGTAAATAAAGTGTTCCTGTTCAGATTAACCATTTGTCTACCTAGTTTCCAATTCCTGGTTCCAAAGGAAGCACCAACATAACGCAACTTAACAAAGCAGCCTTATAAATAATGGTTGCATTGGTGATCATCTTCCAAAATTCTTTAGACACTTCAACAGTTCCTGCAGAATTATTTTAAAAATTCATCTATGGGATGTGGGCATCACCAGTTGGATAAGCACTTATTGCCCATCCCGAATTGCCCTGAGGGCAGTTAAGAGTCAACGACATTGCTGTGGGTCTGGAGTCACAGGTAGGCCAGACCAAATCAGATAAGGATGGCAGTTTTCTTTCCTAAAGGACATTATTATTTTTATGTTTATTAGACTCTTATTTCCAGATTATTATTGAATTGAAATTCCACCATTTGCCATTGCGGTATTTGAACTCCGGTCCCCAGAACATTACTTGTGTCTCTGGATTAATAGTCTGGATTCATAGTGCCACTACACCATTGCCTATCCTAATGGAACACAGCTAATGTAACCACTCTACTTAAAAAGGGCTGCGGGGAGAGAACAGGGAATTATAGACCACTAAGTCTGACATCAATAGTAAGGAAGATGCTAGAGTCCATAGGATTATATAGCAGAGCACTTAGAAAACAATGGTGGAATCAGACACAGTCGGCATGGATTTACAAAAGGGAAATCATGCTTGACAAGTCTACCAGAATTGGTCAAGGATGTAACCAGAGTTTATTGGGAAAGCCAGTGGATCTGGTTTATTTGGATTTTAAGAAGGGTTTTGTCAAAGTCAAAAGAGAGTGGTAGGGGGGTGGAATGCATTGCCGGAGAGGGTATTGGAGTCGGCCTCATTAGGGGCATTTAAGCGGCTATTAGATAGGCATATGGATGATAGTATAAGGTAGGGGTGGAGGTTAGATAGACCTTAGGTTTAGGGTAAAAGTTCGGCACAACATTGTGGGCCGAAGGACCTGTATCGTGCTGTACTGTTCTATGTTCTATGTCTATAAGAGATTAATTTGTAAAATTAAATTGTATGGGATTGAGATGGATAGAAAATTTGTTGGCAGACACAAAACAAAAAGGGGGAATAAATGGGTCTTTTTCTGAATAGCAGGCAGTGACTCTTGGGGTAATGCAGGAATCTGTAGTAGGACCCAAGTTACTCACAATTTATGTTAATGATTTAAAATGAGGGAACCAAATGTAATGTCTCCAAGTTTGCAAATGACACAATGCTGGATGGAAGGATTATTTATGAGAAGGATGCAGAGATGTTGCAGTGTGATTTGGACAGGCAGAGTGAGTGAGCAAATGCATTGCAAATGTAGTACAATGCAGATAAATATGAAGTTATCCTCTTTCACAACAAAAATGTGAAGGCAGACTATTATTTGAATGGCTGTAAATTGACAGAGGTGGATATTCAAAGAGACCTGGGTGCTCTCATGCACCAGTCTCTGAAAGTAAGCGTGCAGGTGCAGCATCAGGAAAGGAGGCAAACTGTATGTTCTCGCAATGAAAGAATTTGAGTACAGAAACAAGGATGTATTGCTGCAATTATACAGGGCATTGATGAGGCCACGCCTGGAACATTGTGAGCAACTTTGGTCTCCTCATCTGACGAAGGATGTTCTTGTTATTGAGGGATTCCTGGGATGGCAGGACTGACATTTGAGGAAATACTGAGTTAGTTAGGAATGTATCCACTGGAGATTAGAAGAATGAGGGGTGATCTCATAGTTAGTATAAAATTCTAATAGCACTAGACAGGTTAGATGCAGGAAGGATGTTTCCAGTGGTGGAGGACTCCAGAACCAGGGGCTATAATTTAAGGAAATCACAGAGGGTCAGGCAGCATCCATGGAGAGGGAGAGAGCAAGTTAACATTTTGAGTCTAGATCACTCTTCATCAGAGCATCAACTCATCTAGACTCAAAACTTTAGCTTGCTTTCTATCCACAGGTGCTGCCTGACCCACTGTGACTTCCAGCATATTTTGTTTTCAGTACAGACTCAAGCATCTGTAGTTATTTGCCCCTACTCTGTCATAGTTTAAGAATAAGGTGTAAACCTTTTAAGACTGGTATGAAGGGAAATTTCTTCTCCCAGAGAGTGGCGAGCTTGTGAAATTCACTACCACAGAAAGTAGTTGAGGCCAAAATATTATGTGTTTTCAAGAAAGAGGTAGATATAGCTATGTGGCTAAAGATATTGAGGGTATGGGGAGGGCAGAATTCAGATACTGAGCTTAATAATCTTCCATGATCATATTGAGCAGTCTCGAGAAGTCGCATGGCCATTTCCTGCTTCAGTCTTCTATGTTTCTATATTAACTAATGAACGTTATTGTGGCCCAGAACATCTAATCGGTGTCAAAACTATTCTGATCAAAGCCAATCATGGAAGAACCTACCCAGTTACCTGTTAGTACATGTTACGGCTATTCTTCTGATACTGGCTACCTGCTGGAGCCCCTCTGTTGCAGCAAACTGAGTGGGCGAAGTGAAGCCAGGTCACCATGCAGCTGTTAAAGGAGCTTTAATGAGTTGTTACAGCCTGCCTTGGATATGGTACACACTGCTGACAGTGACGGAGCAAGGGAATTTTTAAGATGATAGATGTGCTGTCAATCAAATGGGCTATTTTGTCCTGGTGTCAAGCTTCTGGAGTGTTGTTGGAGCTGCACTCAAGATAAGTGGAAAATATTCCATCACACTCCAAAAAGTTGTGCTTTGTAAATAGTAGAGCGGCTTCAGGGAATCAGGAGGTGAGTTACCAACCTCAAAATTCCCAGCTTTTGATTTGCTCTTGTAAACAGTGTTTATATGGCTGACAAAGTAAATTTTCTTCTCAATAATAAATGCAGGGATATAGCTGATGGGACGGTTAGTGACAGTAATGCTGTTGAACATCAAGGAGGGATAGTTACATTCTCACGAGTATTCATTGCTCAAAATTATGGGACTTACTGATTATCAGCCTGAGCTCAAATGTTGCCTAAGTCTTGCTTCATGCAGACACAAACTTCTTCAGTATCTGAAGAGTTATGAATTGTACCAAGCACTGTGCAATCATTGACAAACATCCTGACTTCTAATCTTATCTGGACAAAAGACCAATAAAGAAGCAGCTGAAAATGAGGGTTGGGCCTTGGACACTACTCTGAGGAGCTCCTGCAGAAATAGCAATAGAGATGATTGGCCTCCAACAACAACAGCAACAATCATTTTACATTGTGCAAGACTCCAAACGGTGGATTATGGCCTGATTGCCATTAACCTGTCTTAGTTGAATAGTCATGCGACTGTTATCCCACAGCACCACAGCACATATTTAGCTTTGAGTTAAGAACATAGAACAGTACAACACAGTACAGGCCCTTCGGCCCACGATGTTGTGCTGACCTATTATCCTACTAAGATCAAACTACCCTGCATACCCTACAGTATACTATCATCCATGTGCCTATTCCAAGAGTTGCTTAAATGTCTCTAAAGTATCTGACTCCATTACCATTGCTAGCAGCACATTCCACACACCCACCACTCTGTGTGAAGAACCTACCTTTGGCATCTCCCCTATACCTTCCTCCAATCACCTTAAAATTATGCCCCCTCGTAATAGTCATTTCTGCCCTGGGAAAAAGTCTCTGACTATCCATTCTATTTATGCCCCTCATCACCTTGTACACCTCTATCAAGTCACCCCTCATCCTTCTTCGCTCCAATGAAAAAAGCTCCAGCTTTCTCAACCTTTCCTCATAAGACCTGCCCCCCATTCCAGGCAGCATCCTGGTAAATCTCCTCTGCACCCTCTCTAAAGCTTCCACATCCTTCCTATAATGAGGAGACCAGAACTGAACAACAATATTCCAAGTGTGGCCTAACCAGGGTTTTATAGAGCTGCAGCATGCTCTTAAACTCAATTCCCCCTGCCAATGAAAGCCAGCACACCATATGCCTTCTTATCAACCCTATCAACTTGGGTAGCAACTTTGAGGGATCTATAGACGTGGACCCCAAGATCCCTCTGTTCCTCCACACTGCTAAGAATCCTGCGATTAACCCTGCATTCTGCATTCAAATTTGACCTTCCAAAATGAATCACTTCACACTTTTCTGGGTTGAATTTCATCTGCCACTTCTTTGCCCAGCTCTGCATCCTGTCAATGTTCTGTTGCAACCTACAACAGTCCTCCACGCTGTCCACAGCTCCACCAACCTTTGTGTCATCGGCAAACTTACTAACCCACCCTTCCACTTCCTCATCCAAGTCATTTATAAAGATCACAAAGAGCGGAGGTCCCAGAACAGATCCCTGTGGCACACCCTGGTCACTGAGCTCCAAGCTGAATACTTTCCATCTACTACCACCCTCTGTCGTTTATTGGACAGACAATCCTGTATCCAGGTACATCTTTTTATTTCAGATTTGTTGAATTAATTGAATGTAAATTGCCCGGCTCTTGTGCCGTGATTTGAATTCATCCCTTCAGAGCCTTAGTTTGGATTTCTGGATGGCCAGTCCAGTAAAATCACCATGGTGCTGATAGACCTGTTCTCAGGGACCATCAACATCACCCACTCAGCAGCAAATCAGTCTGATTGGCTGAGAAACAGAATAATAAAATAATGAGGGCCGGCTGTTAAACTTGTTTAAATTTGACAGTACACCCTGGCTTTTCTGGATTTCTTCCCTGCAAACAATGCTCCTCTGCTCGCTACCTGCCAATCCATAAATATTGGGATCAGTAGTTCTGAAAGGAAATAATTATGAAAGAAAACTTTAACAGCTCTCCTGCAACTTTAACCACCTTGAGTCAAGACTTGCTGTTTGATAATAATAGAATTGTTGTGCCGTGTAGCTGGGGGCTATTGATTTGCAGTGATTGAATAAACTCATTTTGTTTCACTAAATGCAGTTATGGGATTTTTATCAGTGTTTTCTTTGATTGAATTTTATATATCTATCCATTTGTCTCTGAAAACTGTAAACTGGTGCCCTTAAGATTAGAGACATTCTTCTTAAGGTATCCATTTAACTGATATCTCTCACTAGTTTTAAAGCTGGGAATACAGATACCAAATTGTTACAGTTAGATATCTCACTATTGAAGAATTTTATCCTGTCTTTTGTATTTCTGTTATTCCAGCAACAGCTATTTAGAAAAAGAGGAAGGTTGCTTAGCGACACTTTCATGGTACCTGACCTCCAAATACATTGCTTTACAGGGGAAATGTGATGCCGTGTCTATCTCAAAAGTTGCAGATATGGAGCTAAGTGGAATAGAGTGAGATTGAGTTGGAGATTAAAGGCTGCAATTTTTAACTGTTTGTCAGATTTAGACTGCAGACTCAGCATGAACACAAATGAGCTAGTCTAGCCTACCCCTAATAACCCTAACTCTATGGGCTCAACTCCTGTTTGTTCATAATGGATCTGACATCTGCACTCAACAGGTACAACTAGGTTCATCTGAACCATATTTGGCATGATTCTGTAGGTAGTCCAGGGCAGCTTCCTCCAATATACACCAATCCAGAATTACATTCAAACCCATTCTGAATGTAAAGGAATGAAGGCAGAAAATGAATCTTCAGCCCATCAAGAAAATTTGTTGTCCCATCAAAGAGGAGGAAGACTCTGATATGTTTTGCTCCTTCAAGTTGAGTTTTGCGTCAATGACAGCACAATTTCTGGACTCTGGTATTTATCAGTATAATGTTCGAGTAGTGATGGTCCCATGTACTAGGGATTGTTCTACACTTTGGCAGTGCATAGGAAAGATCCTAGGATTTAGCATAAGGGGATGGGTACAATACCAGCATTTTATATTTAGTGGGCAGATTCCACTATAAATGTTAACATTGGTATTTCTAGCATGGAAAGTTAACACAGAAATTAGTTGTTATTGTTATATGAGTGTAGCATTTTGAATCTTAGACATAGTTCTGTACAAACCCAATGGTAGTACAGTTTGATTATCTTGTCCAAAGGTCATGATCCTGACGAGGTTGGAAGTAGTATGTCCACACTGGAACGTTCTCTAGGAGCACGAAGGGGAACACGACCAAAGCTGATGATTCCCATGGATTCACAGCCCACCAATCCACGTGAGTAACTTACGTATTTTGCGATTCAAGCTGGTTTCTCTAATTAGGACTCAAATGTCATAGAATTGCATAAAATATGCAGAACCCATGGGCTAACTAGCTTGGTGCTGACTTTTTGCCTATTTTATTAAATGCATGTTTTGTACTACTGAGGGTGGAGCAGTTCCTTCCTCTGCGAATTGGGAGCTGAAGGAATTGAAAAGTAAGTTTTTGCTTTCAGAGAATGAGACACTGTATTAGTCCCCCTGTCTGTGACTGTCTCACTTTACAGCTGATGAATCGTGCACTCTCAGACCCGAAGTTTGCATAATGATCGATAAATTAAATCCCTGAAGTTGAGAGAACTTTAAATTTGAAAATGCCGATGAACATTTTGTCCCAGGCTCTTATTGTTTTCTGAATCATCACAACATGATCAAAGATCCAAAGCAAATCCAAAGATGTAGTGATCGTGACCTTTACAGCTTAACAGCAGGAAATGTTCGAAAAGACCGTCATCAATTCTGTCTGAAATTTAAATCAGATAATATTCTGAAGCTTTTGCTTTTATTCCACTTATACACTTTCACTCAAGTAATATTGCATTTAAGTAATATTGGAAAGTGGATGATAAATGGCCTATTAAGCTGAGTGGTACAGGGAATGGAATTGTCTCATGCAATAATCAGTATTTTTCTCAGAACCCATCTCAAGATCCACATTTGGGTAGATTGTAAGAAATTTTATTTTATATCTGGCTTGGTGTAACGTATTCCAGGAATGCTTGGTGCTCATACGAATAGAAGTGCAACAAAGTTAGTTAAATATAGAATTAACAAATACTGTGCAGCCCATCTGGGAAGTCTTGTGAAAATAGTTTACAGCTCACAGCAAAGATATATCCAAGTAAGGAAGAAGGATACCAGGAGGGTGTTAACGAGATAATTTAAGGATAGTATTAAAATTGAAAAAAAATGTACAAAATGGCAAAGTTTAGTGGTAAGCTAGAAGATTGGGAAAGATTTAAAAGCAAAAAAAAGACCAAAATAATGAAGAGGGAGAACAAAGAACTAAGAATCTACCGACCTGCGCTGACTCATGATACCTTTCTAAACTAAAATCCTTCTCACCTCTACGTAGTCCCTATCCCCCTATTCCCATCCTAATCATGTATCTGTCAAGATGCCTTTTAAACATTGCTATTATATCCATTTCCAGCACGTCTTCTGGCAGCGCATTCCAGGCACCCTCTGTGTAAAAATCTTGCCCCTCGCATCTCCTTTAAATTTCCCCTTTTCCCCTTTTAAACTTATACCCCCTAGTAATTGACATTTCAACCCTGGAAAAAAGACTCTGATTATCCATTTTACCCATGCCTCTCATAATTTTGTAAAGCAGGTAACATTTCAGGGTAGATTTGTAAATAATATGAATTTGGGCCATAAAAGCTTCTTTAAATGTATAAAACATGAAGAGAGATACCAAGTGAACATAGACCCTTTAAAGAACAAGGCTGGGGTAAAAATAATAGGCAACCAAGAAATGACAGAGGAATTGAATAAATAGTTTGCATCAGTCTTCATTGTAGAATACAGATAGATCTCCTAAATGCGATAGTTCTTGTGTGACCTCGCTCTATAGAAAATCGCATTATGGGGAAATCGCTATAGAAAATCACTATACCTGTACAGCAGAAAGCCAATTGCACCAGATTGTTAATTGTACCCAAAGTGGAAAATCTACTGGAATTGTTTTCAATTGTTTTCAATGGTTTTCTCAGTTATTCCACAATTCTATGTCTGTCCATCCAGAACCTCCTTTCTTTCCTCTACCTTGTTCAATTTTACCTGGTGTTCCGTGAAATATGAACCCTGTTCCAATTTACAGCAAATAAAATTACTAAATGATTTAACATCCCAAAACTGTTAAGGTAGATGCAAATGATGACAGCATCTCATGTTTATAAAGCTGCTACCTTCATCTTCCGAGCTTCAAAGTGTCTTGGGACAATTCATTTGTCAGAAGACAATCTCCCTTGACAGTCCTCCAGCAAAAACTGATGGTGTTAGTTTTTTTCTAATCAGACTTAATAGAAATGCAATTTAACTTTAAATTTCATCAAATTGTACAAATGTAGCTAATTAGAAAACTAAAGTCTCATTCAGCAATATTTCAAGTAGTTTTCTCAAGCAAACAGTTTTCAGTTTGTTGAAAATGTGACCGAACAATGGCGTGAGTTTTTATTCGCTTCATGTTTGCAGCTGTGGTAAGTGCAATTCCTGTTCCAACACTGGAGAGTGCCCAATACCCTGGCATCCTGCCATCTCCGACATGTGGATATCCTCACCCACAGTTTCCATTGCGTACCATGCCATTCCCCACACTGACTGTCGATCGTGGATTTGGCTCAGGTAAGGATCCATTCTTGATTGAATATTTATATGAAATTGTACCTTTTGTTGCACCTAATTGTTTTTCTATTCCTTCAAGGAATCTGGGTATCACTGACAAGGTCACTATTTATCAACCATCCTGAATTGCTCTTGAACTAAATAGCTCATTAGGCCATTCAGAGAGACAGTTAAAGTTAACCACATTGCTGTGGGTCTGGAGTCAGCTGTAGGCCAGATGAGGTGAGGATGGCAGCTTCACTTCCCTAAAGGAAAGGGCATTAGTGAATCAGATGGGTTTTTATTTTCAAATTTTACTGACTGAATTGTAATTCCACCTGTTGTAGACGGGTGAATTAAATCAATACCCCAGGCATTTCCTGGGCCTCTAGGCTACAAGTCACATGATATTATCACAACACCACATACTTCCTGTTCTAAAGGAATGAGATAAAAATGATTGTTATCATCCTGCAGTTGACTGTCATCGTCTTCACTATCAACTACCCAGCTAATGTTTATGTTGTCTGCAAATTTCCCAATAACCCTCCCCCATTTAACTTGAAATCATTGATATATACTACAAACAGGTGAGATGACAGTGACTGCCCTTGACATCAAGACTGCATTAGACTGTGCGTGGCATCAAGGAGCTCTATTGAAACTGGAAACAATGGGTATCAGGGAAAAACTCTCCACTGGTTGGAGTCAGACTTCACACAAAGGAAGATGGTCATGTTTGTCGGAGTTCAATCATCTCAACTCCAGGATATCTCTGCAGGAGTTCCACAGGATAATGTCCTAGGCCCAATCATCTTTAACTCTTCATCAATAACCTTTCCTCCAACACAATGTCAGAAATGAGGATGTTTACCAATGATTGCACAATGTTCACGACATTTCAGGCACTGAAGCAGTCCATGCCCAAATGCAATGACTCCTAGACAATAGCCAGGTTTGAACTGAGAAGTTGCAAGTAACATTCATGCCACACAAATAATAGCCAACTACATTTTCCAACAAGGGAGCATCTAACCATTGCCCCTTGACATTAAATGGCATCACCATCACTGAATCCTCCACCATCAACATCTTGGGGGTTACCATTGACCAGAAACACAACTGGACTAGTCATATAAATACTGTCATTACAAGAACAGATCAGAGGCTAGGAATCCTGCAATCTTGCAATTCACCACCTGATTCCTCAAAGCATGTGCACCATCTACAAGGCAGAAGTCAGGAGTATGATATGATACTCCTCACTTACCTGAATGAGTGCCGGTAAGACTCGGGAAGTTTGCAAACCCAGTCTAGCAATTATGTCCTTCAGACCCAACGAGCTTAATTAGTATAGAGATAGTAGGAACTGCAGATGCTGGAGAATCCGAGACAACAAGGTGCAGGGCTGGATGAACACAGCAGGCCAAGCAGCATCATAGGAGCAGAGAGGCTGACGTTTCGGGCCTAGACCCTTCATCAGAAAAGGGGGAGGGGAAGGGGGTTTTGAAATAAATAGGGAGAGAGTGGGAGGCGGATAGAAGAGAGGATAGGTGGAGAGGAAACAAACAGGTCGAAGAGGCGGGGATGGAGCCAGTAAAGGTGAGTGTAGGTAGGGAGTTAGGAAGGGGATAGGTCAGTCCAGGGAGGACGGACAGGTCAAGGGGGCGGGATGAGGTTGGTCGGTAGGAGATGGAGGTGCGGCTTGAGGTGGGAGGAGGGGATAGGTGGGAGGAAGAACAGGTTAGGGAGGCAGGGATGAGCTGGACTGGTTTTGGGATGCGGTAGGGGGAGGGGAGATTTTGAAACTTGTGAAATCCACATTGATACCATTGGGCTGCAGGGTTCCCAAGCGGAATATGAGTTGCTGTTCCTGCAACCTTCGGGTGGCATCGTTGTGGCACTGCAGGAGGCCCAGGATGGACATGTCGTCTGAGGAATGGGAGGGGGAGTTGAAATGGTTCGCGACTGGGAGGTGCAGTTGTTTGTTGCGAACCGAGCGTAGGTGTTCTGCAAAGCGGTCCCCGAGTCTCCGCTTGGTTTCCCCGATGTAGAGGAAGCCACACCGGGTACAGCGGATGCAGTATACCACATTGGCAGATGTGCAGGTGAACATCTGCTTGATGTGGAAAGTCTTCTTGGGGCCTGGGATGGGGGTGAGGGAGGAGGTATGGGGGCAGGTGTAGCACTTCCTGCGGTTGCAGGGAAAAGTGCCGGGTGTGGTGGAGCTGGAGGGGAGTGTGGAGCGGACAAGGGAGTCACGGAGAGAGTTGTCCCTCCGGAAAGCAGATAAAGGTGGGGAGGGAAAGATGTCTTTGGTGGTGGGGTCGGATTGCAGATGGCGGAAGTGTCGGAGGATGATGCGTTGGATCCGGAGGTTGGTGGGGTGGTACGTGAGGACGAGGGGGATTCTTTTTTGGTTCTTATTGCGTGGACGGGGTGTGAGGGATGAGGTGCGGGAGATGTGGGAGACACGGTTGAGGGCGTTCTCGACCACCGAGGAGGGGAAGTTACGGTCCTTGAAAAACGAGGACAACTGAGATGTACGGGAGTGGAATGCCTCATCCTGGGAGCAGATGCGGCGGAGGCGAAGGAATTGGGAATAGGGGATAGCATTTTTGCAGGAAGGTGGGTGGGAGGAGGAGTATTCTAGGTAGCTGTGGGAGTCGGTGGGCTTGAAATGAATATCGGTTTCTAGGTGGTTGCCCGATATGGAGACAGAGAGGTCCAGGAAGGGGAGAGAGGTGTTAGAGATGGTCCAGGTAAACTTAAGGTTGGGGTGGAAGGTGTTAGTGAAGTGTATGAACTGTTCGAGCTCCTCGTGGGAGCACGAGGCGGCGCCGATACAGTCATCAATGTAACGGAGGAAGAGGTGGGGTTTAGGGCCGGTGTAGGTACGGAAGAGGGATTGTTCCACGTAACCTACAAAGAGGCAGGCGTAGCTTGGGCCCATGCGGGTACCCATGGC